ACTGCAGCATTGACAAGGTCTTGGGTTCTTGACAGTGGTTCTGCCCATCATATTCAGGGAAAACATGAACTTACGCAGACCGAGTCGGATCGCATATCTATTCGCGAAGAGCATATTCTGGAAACTGCAAATGGTGATCGTACCGTCAACGAGCACTACGACATACGGCTACCCGAGGTTGGACTGCATAGTTCAGCCCTTGCTTTACCAGACTGCCCATCATTACTATCAGTTGCAAAATTGATTGAGGTTGATGGCTTTCGACAGCTTTGGGATCCTGAGCTGGGCTACATGCTTCAGGATCCGGGGGGCCAATGGTATAAGATTCCAGTCAACAATCGAGTGCCAGAGTTGCGACTCGACGGCTTAACACGGATACCACCACCACGTTTATGCACTTCGTCAGCACCCCGCCGTCGTCAGCGAAAGCGTTCATCCGCCCGCTGTAACGACACTTGTTGGTGCTGCAAAACTACAGAGCAACCAACCACTGCAGACGAGCTACGGCCCCACATAGGGACCTGCCCCAAGAGACCACATGTCGGAGATGGAGGAGGAGCACGGACCATCACGGTCGAAGAACCTCCCGACACACGCACAGACGAGCCCAACGTGGACACAACCACCGACTCGCCAATGTCTCTGACGCAGTGCTCTCCTCCACAATGCGGGGGGCTAGATATAGCTCAAGCAGACAATGACATACCGACAGAGACACCCACACGAACGCATCCAGACAACGATCGAGTTCTACCCAAAAGACAAAAGAAACCGATCGACCCGATGCATTACATGACTCACAGCCCAAAACATCCTGACTGTGAGATCTGTTCTCGTACGATGGCACAGAATGCCCCGTGTAGACGACAGCGCAAGCCACATCCACCGGCAGACCCCACCGAAGAGGATAACGCCTACGAGGCTTTTGTCCCGAAGAAGTTCGGTGAGGCTCTAACTGCCGACCATATCGTACTGGCCAAAGACGATGCCGCGGACAAACATGGCGACAAATATGCACTTGTTGTCCTGGATAGATATACTGGCATCTTCATGGCCTACCCAGCGCTACACAAAGACGCAGCTACTACAAAGGCATCCTTTCAACAGTTCATTGCCGCGAACGATGAGGTGAAGCATATCTACACAGACAACTCTGGAGAGCTTCAGAAAGCTTGCCGCCAACTGGGATGGAGACACGACACGAGTACGCCACATCGTCCACAGACAAATGGATTGATCGAGCGCGTTGTCAACATTGTCATTCTTGGTACCAGAGCTGTGTTACATATGTCTGGTCTGGGACACGAATGGTGGAAAGAGGCCATGCAAGCCTTTTGCTGTGGACACAACTTTGTGCATACATCCACGGGCGTCGCTGCCCTCAACGAGGGGCACGCAGAAAAGACAGCTCATGAAATAAGATTTGGCGAAAGCTTTCCTGGGCACTGCATACCATTCGGTGCTCGGATATTTTGGAAATGCCTCAACCCCGAGATTAACAACGAGACTGCAAAGTTTAAAGAAAATACTCGGGAAGGGTTATTCATGGGATGCCACTTACACTCTGGTGGACGATGGTCAGGTGACTACCTTGTTTTGGACACGGCTACATACGCCAAGAATCCTGATGGTGAACTGTGTCATGTGCACAGAGTCAAAGACATCATCATCCCTGATGGCAAGTTCACCAACCCCGTGAAAGATGGTACCCTACGACATCACAGCCCGGAGGCACACGACGAGGTGAAGGCATCTACTTCTCGCCCCTTGGGTGACAAGCCAATGCCTGATCCTCCACTTTCCTACCCTAAAGAATGGGATGATCCGTCTATGATGACAACGGAAGATAACGCTGTTGATATCCAGACATCGGCTTCTGAACTTGCTGCACCAGCGCCGGAGCCAGACTACTGGGAACAGCGTGGATATTGCGTCATCAGACACATTCGTACCCCAAGAAAGAAACTGTTCATCCCGACGGACGACGTCATGAATATACCTGTACCTGTTGACCAACTCGACGTGACACGAGATTTCAAAACGACTTCTACTTTCGAGGGCGAAAGTAACTTCCGAGATGTTTGGGATGGTGTTAGCGCCAACGACCACAGGGAGTTAAGCGAGCCATGGGCAGGCACGATTCAGTTCTATGAGCTTCCAAAAATAACGCCAGACGGCAAAATGGTGGTTCGTGGACGCGAGACACGTGTGCAGACTACTACACGTCCTGATCACGTTCTTCCCGAGCATTGGAAAACACTTTCTCGTGGACAGCAAAAGAAAGAGATCGATTACGCCAACGACGTTAAACGAGCTCGTGAGATTCGCGATCGTGCCGCATTGAGAGCGTGGACAAGACAGGATAAACAGGTCAACAATTTCCGTACTACTACATCAGGCGGACCCACATGGAATACTGTGGAACGACGGATTACATACGACACTGACAATGGCGACGTCATTCGCGACGAGAATGTCAAAGGCGTGACAAACAAAGAAATACTGCATGCCAAATTACCTGGTGGGCCACGTGACATTACCACGGTACTATACTACCGTCAACTACCACAACAGCACGATGGAGAAGAACGTGCTTTGGTATTTGTGGATAATGAGGGAACCGACTTTGGAACTTTGAACCCGCTTATACGCAAGTTCACTTAGTCGGTAGCAATGCCAACCATGCCACGTGAGACCAACTACACGCCGGCACACAGAGATAAAATACCAGATTCGACATGGCCACGCCCAGCAGTAGTTACCAGAAACCTGAGTAAGAAAGAAGTTGCCGCATAACCACGTGCACAAGAAGCCCAACGAAAAGAATACGAGAGATTGGAAAAGAAACAAACATGGATGTTGGAGACTGTTGCAGAAAAAGCTGATATTGAGTCACAAGCTATCCGCAATGGAACAAAGGTGCATTTCTTCAACATCTTGGAGTTATCTTCAGTCAAACATGAGGAACTTCCTCCTGATCTACGTGAATTCAAGGGCAGAGTGGTGGTTCAGGGCAATACAGGCAAAGACGAAACTGGTTTGGCCGCCATATTCGCCGACGCCGCTTCCAGTGCTTCGCATATAGAAGCTTCCAAACTTTGCGATGCTACTGCGTTATTGCCGCAATATGCGGGAGAGCAAAGTGACGCACCTGGAGCCTACACGCAGGCATTATTATACGGCGACGGACGACTTGATCCAGTTGATACTTGGATTACTATACCTAAATGGCGACAACCGACATCATGGTCAAAATACAAGAACCCAGTGTGCCGATTGCGATTGGCACTATACGGACACCCCCTCGCAGGTGTCTTTTGGGAACGAAAATGCCGTACATGCTTGGAAAGCGTCGGTTTCGAGCCTATTTCAGGATGGGAATGCGTATGGAGACACAACAAACTGGGATTGATACTTT